GGGGCGGGGGGGGAAAGATGGTCCCGCCGGGCCAGCCCCGCTGCTCTGGGCGGCGCCGCGTTCGCCCCGCCTTTATAGCCGCGATTGTAACGTGGGCCGGCCCGGCGTGGCGGCGGGTGCCACGGCGACGCGGGCAGGGCTCGCCTCGGTTGTGGTAACGCGGCGGCCGCTGCCCGGCCCGGCCCGGCCCGGCCCGGCCCGGCCCGGCGGGGCGAGGAGGGGCTGCCAGCCTCCTTCCACCGCGCTGCCGGGGAACCCAGCTACCGACTAAAGTCAACAGCGAGCTGCGGCGAGCAGCAAACAGCCCGTGCCGGCGTGAAGCGGGGGCAAAAAGTCTTTTCTGCATCCCCAGCCGCGCCCCCGGCCTCCCCGCCGCTGAAGGAGATTTAGGAGTAGATGGTATCTGCTCCCGCAGCCAAGGCTCTTTTGCAAGCCGGTGCGCTGAAAGCGTTACAGACCTTGCTAACACGTCTGCTCACATGCGAGCCTTTTATCTCGGCAGCGCAGTTGGAAAAGCTGAATCACCGCGGAGAGAGTGAGGACTGAAGGGTATTTTTTCATATGCAACAGGCTGCTCTTTATTTGATCTTCACAGTCCCTATTTCTATCAATATTCCTAAAGCTGAGGGATCAAACACGGAAAAATTAAAACCATGCTACCACACTAAATAAGATTAAGATCGTGGCAATATATTGACTGCTCCTTGGGGAAATCATTTTGTCGCTGCAGGAGCCATGGCCGTCCTGGAGGCAAAGCTTGTGTTTCAGGAATGGGCAACGGGAAAGAGAGGTTTGGGAGTCTGCATCCAAACCCGGCCAGGAGCAATCTCAAGCGCCCGTGCTCCTGTCCCCCTCCATGCTCCCAGCCTGGCTGCACAGGCGTCGCTGGTCTATGGAGTCAATGAACTTTGCTAAGCTAAGCTCAACTGTCCCTGTGTTGACACCCACAAGCGGGCATCTTTCAGAGCTTCTGCTGGGGAAGTTTGTTCTTCCAGAAATGTTCTGCACTCACATTGCTCCTCTTTGACACTTAGGAGTTAATTTTTTTTGAAAGGACTTCATAACCTTTTGAATTCCTGGCCACCTGTTCTGGCTGTTTATGTGGAAGGAGAGCTTTTTTTGGAAAGCCCAGCCTCAGCCGTGAGGCCAGAAGTCCCTTGAAAACACGAGTCCATGTCCTGCATGCCTTTTTGCTGAGGGCTCCTCCACGTCCAACCTCTCCGTCATTCCCTGCTTTGCCAAGGTCTCCTCTGCTTCCAGGGCAGGGTGGAAAGCCTCTCTCTCCTCCAGGATGTGGGGCCAGTGGTGGGCCCGTGCACGTGTATATTTTGTAGCCTTTGGTAAGTTTTCTTACATGGCAAAATCTTTATAGTCCTCTTTACTTTAAACATGATCTTTTTTTGATGTTGTTTCTTCCTGTTCTCTCAGGAAACCCACTCCCGTGTATATTTGAGGCAAGCTGAGATGCAGCCAATTGTATTAGTTCTGGCTGGAGCAAAAATGCATAATGAAACACTGGCTGTGTGGTGTGAGTCCAAAATAAATGGTCACTGGTAGAGCCAGCAAAAACGGGCAAGCACAGGCAGGCTGCAAAAAAGGAAAAAGCTTGGACTCTACCTGCGGTGCTCTGCATTTTTCCAAAGGCAAAAATGAACTTGGGGTTTAGAGATCTTGGGAAGAGACGCTGGGGTACCGTGCTTTTTTGATTACATTTATGAATTGTGACGATTCTTGCATTTTTTGTGAATACAGCATCTGTAAGTGGGAGAAGGTGTTTTATCTCCCAACCTGTATTCTCAAAGCACAGCAGTTTGGTTTTTATGTGCCAGATGTCAGTGTGCCCTGATTCTTCAGGCAGTTGGGATTAAAGCTTCCCTGTATCAGAGAGGTGTTACAAGGATAACTCCATTAATGCGTGTGGAAATCTGGTGCTGCGGCGATAAAGACCCTGTAAATATTTACACAGACAGGCGAGCTCATGGAAATTTTACATTATTAACTTCATTACAAGGAAGTAGTTGAGCAAGTCAGCAGTGTATGACATTCGCTTTTATTTTTAATTAAACATTGACAATGTATCTGGTGCTGCTTCAAGCCACAAGATTCAGAGGGTCACTGCTTTAAATATTTCACAATCTGCAGGGAAATAGCGAGTCTCAAGCAAAGGAAAAAAAGTAACATAGCTGCTATAAGAATAAATCTTGCCAGTCAGACCTTTTACACTTTTAAGAGTTAATAAAATAGTGGGTAAAGAACAACCAGAGGATATAATTTATTTGGACATTCAAAAGCCTTTTGATAAACACCCGTACAAGAAACTGTTAAGGAAACTTGGTAACCACAAAGTGAGAGGTAAAGTCCTGTCATGGATTAAAATCTGGTTATAAATGGGTATGGAATAAATGGCCAGTTCTTGTATTGCCCTAGAGAGCAGGACTCAGACCAATATTGTTTAATGCTTTATTAATAACCTGGGGGTGAATAGTGAAGTGGCAAAAGTTGATGTCAATAGAAAAGTACTTAGCTTAGGTCAGGAGCAACTTCAGAAGAATTTAATAAAATGGCAGGACCACGCGCAGAAGTACGAGGGCAGCTTGGAAAGTGCCTTCAAAACCTACAGCAGCGCTCCCGCTCCTCCTGGCACGCGGGGACTGGCAAAGGCACGGGGCTTGTCCCCCCTCTGTACAAAAGTGAGGGTGGGTAAGCTGAGGACAGGCAGATGTTTCCAAGCATCTCAAGTACTTTTTCACTCCTCCTGCTTGCTGCTCAGCTCCCCTAGTTCATTATGCCAGGAGGAAAGACTGAGCTCCCATAGGCAGGCCCCTCTACCAGTCTGTGAATAATAGCCCCATGAGCTCTTCCAGTAATTGTTTAAAAAAGCTGTTGTGAGTTCCCATGGCTGATTCTTCCCTGAGGATATGCCAAAGGCTGTAGGTCACCTCTCACAGGCATTTCAAAAATTACGTGTTTGGTCTGACCAGAGTGACACGGCAGCAAGCCTCAAGTCCACTTAGTCTAAGAACATAAGCTCCTGGGTGCTGCCTGGCACCTGGAAAAACAAAACCTGCCAGCACAGCACAGCTGGGGTGCAAGTATCTATGTGCAAATAGTAGTCACATCATCTAGTGCGTAATGGGGTAAAGGCACAGGCAGCTGCCTCAACTTACTGCCGCTGAGTGTTTCGGCGAGCTGTTTGCTCTCTGGCTTTTCCTTCCCGCTGATTTCACCCGCGGTGTGGCTGCGTCTTGCTAGACCTTGTTGATGTGAACTGCAGCATCATGACCCGGTGCATTCACATTGCAAGCTCTTTATTTGAACTTGATATGCAGAGAAATGTACTTACCAGCAGTCTGGACGACCTTTGATGGTATCTTTGCTGCCAGTTCTCTGTTCCGACTGTTCTGTCTTCTTCACGGTGCCACCCAAACGCAGCACAGGCTCCCGAGCTTTTGAAGGTAATGACATTCATGGAAAATCAAACGGCTGTTTTTCACAGGGATTTATTATTGTTTTGTTTTTACCCAGTGGGTCATTTCCAAGGATACTATTCTGGAAAAGAAAGCAACTCATAAGGAAAGATTTTTAAAAATCCTCTTGATATAACTTGTAAAGTATTTTGAAGTACCAGACACAAAAGAAATTGTTTTTAAATCCCCTCTTTCATCTGATGATTTATATTACATTAGAAATGCCCCGCATCCCAAGCATCGGGACCCCAGAGTAGTAGGTGGAGCCAGTGCTGCTCACAGAGGGCTCTGTTCCCAAAGGGAACGGGGTGGGGGGGGTAGTCACATCCCGGGTGGGAAGTGGGAAGTCCACATGCACAGAGGACATGACTCCTCTCTGATCCTGCAGCACCCAGGAGGCAACCCAGGGCTCCCAGTGCTCCCTCCTCTCAGTGAATCACTTGCCTTGACCCCGCGTTTGTAGTTTGATCCAAGCTCTTCATGGCTTGTAGACACTCTTGGGGTTCTTACTTTTACTTTTTTTTCATTATCTGAAATGAAAAACTGTACACACATACACATAATATCCATTCAGCCTAATAAACAATAACCTAATACTTTAATGCAGGGGGGACGGGCTCCAGGTGTGCATAGGCTTCATTTGTGGAGCTTTATGCGTTGACATCAAATGAGGACCTGCTCAGAAGTGAAGGAGCAGCTTCAGCAGTGCAGGGTCTAACCGCCCAGCACGCGTAACCAGGGGTTCTGCCAAGGATCAGGTCGGAAAGGAGTGATTTTGCAGGCCAGGGGTGCGCGCTGTATCTGCTGCTGAGCCTGAGGCGCAATTCCGCCGGGCCGCCGTTCACTGAGTTATTATGGGAAGCAGAATGTTCAGGCAACATCACGGTAACATTGGCAGTAAGCATGATACTACATGAGCATAGTACGCAGTCACGCAAATATGAAGGTCACTGAATAGCTTGGGATTGATGGTTTAAAATTGGTACATTTTACCATTACTACCATCACTTTTCTCTCTAAGTACCATCCAAAGAAAAGCTTTGGGAGCTTGTTCTGAGGAGTCAGGATAGGCCAGAGTCTGGGACAACCTGTGGCTCTGGACAGCTGCAGCATTAAAGCAAGAAAGACTAAAACTCAGGTATTTGACTTCAAAATGTGGAGGCAGAGCCCTGGCGTTCCCCTGGAAGTGGTTTCCCTCTGCCTGCCTCCCTGCCCTGCTGCAGTGGGAAGTACGGCTGCCTCCGCCGTGTCTTTAGCGCTCATCTCTCCAGGCTCCGCTTGTGGTCTTCTTGTCTTTCCCATCTTCACCACTGAGCCTCCTTCTCCCAGCGCACCCCCTTTTCCCTCCATGCAGCAAGCCCCTCCAGCCATCCCTTCTGCTCCTTCCTCCTGCCAGCAGAGAAAATGGCATTTTTCTCAGCCCTGGCCTCCTCCTCCTCCTCCTTCAGGCTTTTAAGGGCTGCAGTGATCGGCTGCAGCAACCGGAGCCACTTCCAGCAGGGCAATGCTAATTCCTTTCCTCCTGGCTCCCAGAACAATTAGCAAAGGCTGGCATTTTGTTAATCCAGGCATAATTAATCACCACCAACTCTTTTATTTTAATTCCTGTTTCCATAGTCTTGAAGAGCTTTAGGAGCTGTGAGCTTTTACACGTGGTTGTAGAAGATACTGATGCGGATATTTTGCCAGGCCATAAAATCCTTTGCAGCAGTAGTATTTTTTTAGAGGGCCTAAAGAATTTTGGATTAAAATCAGGACAGAAATACAAGGGCCAGACTGCAGAGGTACAGAAGGAGGTTGTCTGATCCTCGTTGTTCCAGCAGCATAGAGCAATGGAAAGGATTAGAAGCAGAGTATTTTGTACTCAGAGGACGATTTCTTGTTGTCTACCAGTTCACAAAGATGTGGCAAAGAGGAAGACCTGGATCTGTAGTTTATTCCTGTGCCTTTGGTATCTACCTCCAAGGGTGCTGTCAGGATAATCACAGCAGTGATTCTTAGAGGTGGCAATGTGGTACTTTCTATGAGTCCAGGAAAGATGTCGGGTCCCTTTACAGCCTCTCGTTTGAATATACAAGATGTTCGAATTGTTTCTCAGAGCCACTTAAAAAAAAAGGCATGTGAAAATGTCAGAGAATTTTTTTTTTCTTTCCCTTTCCCACCCAAATACAAAATCAAATAAAAGCAAACACATGGGACAAATACAAGAGCAGCCCCCTCTGCACGTATTCTCTGATACACAGGCTGTTTCCAGATGTATGGATTAGACCTCATTCAACTACTGCTTAAAGCTCAGCCTTAGCATACTGACTGAATACTCACCGAGTCGGAAACTTCTGGGAAAAGTAACGCACTCGGTGGGCAGTCTCCCACTTCCTGCAGTGATCCTGGTCGCTGCGTCTATCCTGTGACCCTGTTGCCATCTCTCCGTTCATTTAGTTAGACCATTTTTGAGCCTGCTAAAGTATAGATTTAAAGTCCCTGGAATGTAGTTAAAAATGAAAAATATGTGATTATTTTGTCTTTTGCCTAAATATTTTTTAATCAACTGTGCTATAGTGTAGGAAACAGCTCTGACAGCATGAGCAGTGAAGTACCCTCATGGTGGAAAAGCACAGCACCAACACTGCATCATGTATAAAAAACAACTGCATTATGTAAAAAAAAAAAAAAACACAAGTGTTTAAAAGCACTTCAGGATCTGCACTCAGAAACAGTTCAGGATTTTCACACATCATGTGGATGAACATCTCGCATAACTACTTTTGCTAATTGAATATTTGTGTGTGTGGCTGCAACCCAGGTGAGAATTTTTCAGACATAAATACGCCTACGGTAATAGCAAGTACATGGTCAATAAGGCATCGCTGTACTTGTGCAGGGCTCATGCCCTAGGCTGTAGTTGTTATTACTGCCTAACATGGTGCTTAGTATTTTTGGTCCTGATGCCGAGCCTAACCTGCTTCAGCTCTGATCTCTTATTTTTGAGTGATGTTGTTATCAACAAGACTAGACCAAGGTTCTTGTGGCTATAGATGTACAAGAAGCACCTCGGCGTTACAACAGCCAGCTTCACGGTGCTGTGCCACTCACAGGACTTTTATCTTCACGTTATGCACCAGAAGAGCCTGGGCATCCCGAGAGAGAGAACAGCCTACGAATTGGGGGTCAGGAACACTGTCAAGCTGAGAAAAGAGCTGCTTAAGCTCATCAGCAAGTACAGAGTCCAACATAGCGCTAGGTGCCTGGCTTAAGACTGAAAGGTGATGCCTCTGCACTTGGGATTCAGACCCTGAAACACCCCTGGGCAGGTGGCTCCTGTGAAGGAGCAGAGACTGAGGCTCTGTACTGCTACCTCGTCATGTAACCTGGTGGTTAGGAATGTCACCTGCCCTCCAGGAGACCGGCATACCTGAATCCCTGTACTGCCCGCCAGAGTGCATCCCTCATCCCTCACCTCTTGCTCGAGTACTCTAGCAGGAGGGTACAAGACAGGGTTTCCCCCCATCACGACTACTCAAATTGGGCTGTGTATTAAAAACTATGACAGAAATTATTGTGTACTCTGATGGTTTTTATCAGCTGCTGTGTAAGAGAATTGAGAGTCAGTGCCTGATTAAATGACGAACAGAAGAAGCAGAGACACACAGCACACGCATTTCCAGCAGTTGGGGCAAGTTTAACTCTAAAAGCACAAAAGGTGGATTTAAAGGCCAGTCTGCTGATGAGGGCTTTAGGAAAGTAAATGCCCTGACTCACAGATGCCCAGGCGTGCTCTGCGAGGCGGCTGAGCCCCGAGGATGGCTGCAGAGTGGGGCCCTCCCCGTGTCCTCACGCCTGCACGGCTCTGCAGGAGCCCCGCGGGAACGGGAGCACCCGCAGCCTTGGCTGACCGGCCAACGGGATTTGGGCACCTCGGGGTTAAGGGTTGGATGGATTTCTGAGGATTTTTCAGGTTCTGAAGATTTCAGGTGCTTAGTGAGGCAGTTAATGACTACATCTCTCTGTGGAGGTGTTTTTCTCACAACATTTTGCAGATGCCTTATGGATGTACCCTCAGTCAAATGTGGCTACACTTTGCAGGGGGCTTTTTATTCCCACCTTTCTCTAAAGCATAATAGATACCAGCCAATAAAGTCAGCAGTGTTGTTTTGCAAGTAGAAAACCTGTATACTTGTGTAAAAAATCCCTTTATTATTCATAAAATATTCCTTGATAATTTGGCTCTATTTATCCTGAGAATAAAAAAAAAAAAAAGAAAAGCTGTTATTCAGGAAAAAAAAAAAAACCCAACTTAAAAACTGGTTTAGTCCTCAAATCTAGGTCAAAGACTGGAGCCACCTTTGAGTCTAGCAAAATCATGTTGATCTCAACTGCTTTTCCAGAAATGCTGAGAATTTTATATTCTTCGAGCACCCTGATGGGCTGAAAATATTCCTGAGAGATTATTAGGCTCCCAGCTACTGCTCCAATTCATAGAAATTAAGCCTTCCATCATCTGGTTTTTATATTTGGAAAATGTCAGCTATACTTCCTATCACGTATATTGTTGCTTCAATGCACTGAGCCTTCTGTGAATTTCAAAACACATAACTCAGCTCTCAAGCATTTCTTTTGTAAATATTGATAATGGTTTCAAGTTCTTTATTAAATAACTTTTTAATGAGTGTGAGGTCAAAGAACTATTTTTTCACAGTCTCACAAAGATAAGAATCATAACATATCTTTCTGTACCATGGAACACATGGTTCTCAATACCTCATTGTGCAGCATAAGTTTTCCTCACTTTTATAAAGTTTACTTTAACAAAAAAAAGCCCCACAATTCTAAGAAATAAAATCTAAGCAAGCCATACTAAAATGTCCAAAATCACATGCAAATGCTATGTGACAGCTTTGCAGGTCAGTGCGTGCTGGTGTTTGGAGCAGCATTTGGAAGGTCCCTTTACCCCTTTAATCTGACAGCAAGAACTACAAAATGCCACCATCACTCCTTAATAAGGTTCAATGTATAAACCTCTCCTTGCTCAGCGTTATTTATTGCCTGCATTTTTACCAGAAAGGATCCCTGTGTATACACTTAGGATGGAAGACAATAAAATATTACGGCGAGGTTCACCAGGGGAAGTTTCCAGGGAGAGGTTTTTTATCAGTATACAGGCATGGTCAAAGTCCTGCAGGGGAGTTCCTCTTTGGAGCAGGCTGTAAACAATTTACATGGGGTAGGTAAGAGGAAGTCTTTAGGGTGCCTTGAAAAATATTAAGTTATAGAAGTTCTGACCTCTGTCTTCTAGACCTGGCCCAGAGGACTGATGTTTACTAGCAAGCGTGCGGCGCTCTAGGCAACTGCATACTGTCAGTGGAAGTAGGGCTATTTTTTTAATAAATTTCAATTAGAAATTGGACGGGGTAGCAGTATACTAAATCAAATATGCTGTACAACTAATTTTCTCTATAAACCCCCAAATGTTTACCTTTGAACTTAAAAACGTTGCCTTCAGGCATAGAGTGTTCCAGCCAGCTGTAGTTTAAACACGTGGTGCAGGTTCTGTAGCTTGCTTCTTCATTCAACACTCAAAATCATTCATGTTTGCTAAGCGGAATTAAAAGCCAGCTAGGAACAGATTACTGGTCCCCTGATATTGGCCTTTCTTCTCACACATTCCCTTGAAGACTTTCAGGTCTAATAATAACATTTTCCTGTGCTGGTCCTATTGACAGCTTGAAACCTTAATGACGATCTATTTGAAATGTAAATACTTGGTCTTATTTGCATGTTTATTCAAGGGAATTTGTATTGAATCATTTAGCTGCGACTACAAACAGAGGCTAAGAGACAAACAAAGAAGTTTAGGTGATTTTAGATGGTGTTTTAGGCCTAGCCCATGGCTGGACATGTTGCCAGAATTGTGCTTTCCCAGAAGGCTGAGAGAGACATCTCAGCCTCTCTAGCATCCACCTGTGCAATTTTTCATGTTAAAATTAAATACAAAGGCATGCATTGGTACTGCTGGTTGGGTTTGGGTTTGTTTCTTTTTTTCCTGCAGTCAGCACGGCAACAAAGCCACAGAACATCTCTATTAAACATGTAACCAAAAGATAAGGGTTGGAAAAGGAGCTGTTGTTGATTACTGGCTAGCAGGTTCTTATTTGCATCTATTATTTTAATGATGCTGAGACTTGGCTGCGGTGTTTAGGACGTGTTAGGGCACCGAGAGCATTCCAAAGGTATCTTTTCAGCCGTTTCCAGTTAAGGAGTATATATTACTGAGTTGTGAATTAGAAGAACCATTCAATCTTCCATCTTTGTCATTGTGCCAACACATGGGAAATGACCTCGTCCTAAAAGCTGAGCACCTGCAACTCTCATTAAGATCCATCTAATGTCACCCAGTGCTTTTCAGACTCCTAAAAGGGCCTCTTACAATCTACCTGCTTCAAATTCCCCTAGGATTTATTGGCTCAGAACACGGATTACTTGTCTTGGTATCAGGGATTTCCTTTCTTTTGAACAGGAACATAAAAACACAAAGAAAGTCTAAACTCAAGTAATGTGAAAATATTGGGTTTGATTCCAACCCATACATTCAAAGTTACAACTGAATGTCTGACTTTAACTTGAAATGCGATGCCTTGACTCTGTGTATGATTTTACAGCATATAAAATGTTTGGAAGCCTTTGAAAAAAACGGAAATATTCTTGGCTTTGGTTGCACTCTTATTATTATGCTTTCTTTAATGCATTTATACTTGGCTCAATAGATCTTTACATTTATCAAGCTTGGGTAGCAAGTTTCAGGACTCATGAAATCTGTGTCGTTCCTGGTTGTAACGGTAGTACACTGTCAAGTCTGTTGTGCGCTTTACAGATGATGTATCTTTAGGTGAGAGGATCATCACACATAGATGGTATAGTCCAAAAACTTGATCCAAATCTTCCTGAAACCTTTCTGTTTTACTTCAGTGACATGCAGCACTGAAATTTTTTTCAGTGATATGAAGGACTAAAAGCTTGAAATGCTGAGTTCTCCTTTCTTAAGAGGTGAGCAGTGAAGTACAGGCACCTGCAACTTTACACTGGCCTGAAATTGCCCTACTTTTGCCCTTTTAAATTTAGACAAAGCAATAAAATTTAATGTATACATGCACTTACCGCATTAAAATTAATGGTTTCATTTCCAGACTGATTACTGACCATGAGCTTAAATGAAATTAGTGCTTCTAGAAGATGACTAAGTACCCTTAGAAGTGAATACTGTTTTTTAGACATAGTTAAAATGCAGCATAAAAAGCAATGAAAATTTCATGCTCAAATGCCTTGGCGATCTCAGGTTTTTTTGTAGGTCCTGACAAGAAATAACCAGCTCACTCAAGTTTGAGTTAAAAGGGAAAAAATATCAGTGATCTTGAAAAGTTTAAATGTA